GACCACACTGACTGACATGATGACACCACGGATGGTCACAGACCACACTGACTGACATGATGACACATTCCGGTTAGCCTACATTGAGAAAGGTATCCATGACAGGACCATAAAGCTCTGTTCATCGGGGAAAGAAAAGGTGCCCATGCATGTTGCTAACGGTGTGTCAATGTTGGGTGGCCCTTGTTTGCTCTTCATTGAACTGATGGCAGCAACGTCTTCGCCGGGTTACAATGATCCAAGCTAATATTCGCAGGTATCTCCAGCGTAAACGATTCCTGCAGCACTTGGCTGAAAAGAAAGCAGTCATCAAGATCCAGGCTGCCATTCGAGGCTACCTAGTGAGAAAGCACTATAACAAGCTGCGAGTGGAGAATCAGGTGAAGATCATGAACGTCAAACTCCTGTCCATTTATGCATGCAGCTTGCTGAATGTTTACTTGTTGACCCCTCGTACATAAATGGCATCAGCAGAATAAGTTTGTGTGTTTGTCATGTCTTTTGGCATGCGTGTGTTCGGGTTCATGGATGTGAAGGTTTCTGATGCGAGTGACGGAGGAGGAGAAGTTGTGTGTGCAACACTAGCAGACAACTGTCTCCAGTAAATAAAATGATCATAGTAAACCAGAGAAATGAAAGTTGGGGAACAAAGGGAGGATTGATGGTATGCATATATAGCGGTACCGGATAGCAAGCTGCTGCACTGAGGAAAAAGTTTTATCAACTTGTATGTTATGGCCCTTGTTCACAAATTGATGAAAACACAAGTGAGAAGTACGATGACGACGGGCTGAACGCCAAGATATCCCCGGGCTGTGACGAGACCTGTACCACCCCAGCACCCGAGGGCAGCATGGGAGGATACAGCCTGGGATCCGCCGCCGGGAGAAGGGCAAACGACGGCAGCGGACGGACCGGAGGAATCGGAGCTGACAGCGCAGGGACCACGGCAGCGGCTGATTAGAGACYCCAACGCCCCCCCCCCCCCAATCTGTACTCCGCACCACAACCGCTAACCCTAACACAGCAACCCGTTAGATGTAATCAAATGGACAACAACGAAAATCAGTATGGGACAGTGAGAATGGACTGGCAAGCAAGGGGTCTGACGATCCACAGCTGGAACGTCAACGGCCTGGGCAACATTCTCACCGATGACGATAAACTACGAGACATCAGACTTGGCCTCACAGAGAAAAGAAAGCCCAAACCCGACATCATTCTCCTACAAGAGACCCACCTATCCAACCTCACTAACCGCACCAGAATAAAGAGGACAGTGGAGAAAAGCCTAGGGGGATGCCCTTTCTCACTGTGGAACAAAGCGGACCAAAGCAACTGCGGCACAGCAATCCTCATACCAACTACTTCGAAAATCTGGTCTGAGGGTCTGGTAAATAATGGCGAAGGAGACACAGCGGAAGGAAGATGGTCATGGATCCGAATTACATGGCAAGGGGAAGAGATCAGAATCCTAAACCTATACGCCCCCAACATGGAAGCCGAACGCCTAGCTTTCTTCGACCACATCAAATCACTTCTCCCGACCCCGCTGCTGCTAATTATACCAGGTGGCTGGAACACTACGATGGACCCCAGCCTGGATCGCATTTCCCGGGCAGTGTTGTTGGGGCCCACACGAGCGAGCACACACATACGGAACATCATGACAGAGTTCGACCTGGTCGACCCATTCCAAATCCTCCACCCACACAAGAAAGCCTTCTCCCTAGTCAAGAGGAACCGATCTAACCACACATCACTATCACGAATCGATTTCTTCCTAATTTCAGACATGCTACAGGGAGCAATCAAGGAGGTCAATATCCTACCAGCAGCAGCCTTTAAGGGTCTCGACCACAAACCAACCTACTTGCTCCTTAACTTCAACTCTCCAGTAGAAAAAGGACAAGGATTCTTTAGATTCAACAACTCGCTCCTTTCCACTGAACGCATGACCGAGGCAGTCAGATGGAACTGGTGGTTCATACAGCAAGACGAGAAGAAACGCCAGGACAGGCACAAATGGTTCATAGACGTCTATATGGACCTATCTCAGACGGTCTCAGCAGAGTCTAGAAGCATAGCAGCAAAACGCAAACACAGGAAGGAGGAACTACAAATCGTACTCGACATCACAGAAACCAACCTAGCATCTGATCCCTCTAACTCCTACCGCAACCTACTCCAATCTAGCAAGGACGAACTAAATGAATGGAGAAGATGGGAACTCAAAGGCCTATAGATATGCGCCCGAATGAATGACTACGCCTTGAATGAATCCATGTCCAAATTATTTTTTTCCAAGATCAAGGCCAATGCAAGGAACAACACAATCGAGGGGCTGAAGGACCCAACAGACCAGGGGACGACGAAGTCAGCCGGCGCAGACATGGTAAGAATAGCCAGGGTATGAGTCTGAACCCCCCTTCCCCCCCTCCTACAACAAATATCAACGCCCGCCAGCACATGATGACCTACCTCGAGAGAACGATTACCCAAGAACGAACGGAGGACGTGAACAAACCAATCACCATAGGGGAACTTCACGCAGCCCTGTCCCAGATGGGAAGTTAAAGCACCAAGAATTGATGGCTTGTCCAAAGAATTTTGGATCCAGTTGTGGCCAACATTGGGCAACGACCTCTTGAACTTCATCAACAATAGCAGGGAAAAGAGAGGTCAGGGTCAATTTCTAAGCATTAGCGTAGTGTCACTAATATACAAAAAGGGAGACAAGGAGGACCTCAAGAACTACAGACCAATCTCACTTCTCACTACGTCGTACAAAATCCTAGCAAAAGCATTAGCCAACAAAATTATAAAAATAATAGACAGTTGCTTTCACATCGACCAAGAAGGATTCATCCTGGGTCGATACATTGTGGATAATGTGATGGCTCTAAACAAGGCAGTAAAGAAGATCACGAAAAACCAAATGCAAGCGGCGATCTTATTCTTGGACTTTGAAAAGGCGTACGATCAAGTCAATTGGGACTTCCTCCACAACTGCATGGAGAAGATGGGAGTCGGCCCAAACTTCAGAGAATGGGTGAGAGTACTCTATGGGGATGCCACGGGCAGGGTGCAGATAAACAGAATACTGCCAGAAACCTACCCGATATCGAGATCCGTCCGGCAAGGCGACCCCCTTGCACCCCCAATATTCTTGTTCATAATGGAAGCCATTGCATCCTTCCTGCGCAAGGACCCGTCCATAAACCGCCTCACCCAACAAAACTACAACCCCCTCCACGACTTTGTTCTCCCCACTACACAAATGTTCGCAGACGATCTCACGGTCCTCATTCGCAACAACTCCTGTGTCAAGGCCTTGGCCCGCGCCATGGAAGCCTTCAGACTTGCCTCAGAAATGAAGGTGAACTGGCTGAAAACGGAAGGGTGGTGGCTCCCAGAAGGCACCCCCCCTCCCAACCCCCAGGCCCATCCACCCCAATGTCTTGGACTACAGGCGATCAAGCACTTCGATATCTAGGCATCATGGTAAGCAGGGACGACATTTGGCAAGGGATGGGGGAGTCACTACTCGCCAGAGGAATAACCCATTTCGCCACTTGCAACAAAGCCCAGGTCTCCCTACTAGGGAGAGCCCTGATTATCAACACAACAATATTCTCCACCTTGTGGTACATGGCCTCCATATGGTGCCCCCCCGACGATGACCTGAAGAAGCTGAATGCGAGAGCCAGGTGCTATTTGTGGACTGGCGACCCCAACAAAACCACCTGCATAAACAAGCTGGCCTGGCAAACTGTCATCAGGAAACCACAAGGAGGGCTAGGTATAATCGGCCCTAAACAGGAAACGATCGCCCTCCAAATCAAATGGATAATCAAAATCCTAACCAAACAAGCCCTCCCGTGGACCGCGATGGCTATAGACAGCATAAGGAATTTGGCACCAGCAGCGACCCCACCGAACATGAGGGGCCTATTCTGGATCATGGCAAAGGAGTGGACAATCAAATCGGGGAGACGAGCAAGGAAAACTAACCCAATGACCCCCATTCAACCCCCCACTACTCCCCACCCCCTATTGGTCTCCGATCCTAAAGACCTGGCGACGTCTGATGCCAAAAAAGAAAGCCCCCCCGAGCAACAAAGAGGAAGTCCTACGACAACCCCTGTTATGCAATCCCTGGATCGAAGACACAGAAGGCAGACCGTGGACTCTCTGGGCCAAAGACCGCAGATGGCTGTCATGGGTGGAGAAAGGAGTATGGCAGGTCAAACATCTGTGGTCCGAAGACCGACAAGAATGGCTCACCGCACAGGACCTCCGCACTCCCTTAAAAGCCTGCCATCTACTGACCACCAACCTGTTCGAAATCCTCCAAAGCATTCCCCCCCCATGGACGACCCTCCTAAAAGAGACACATACGTGGAAACCAGGAGACTGGGGACTGCTCATCACACAGACCCCACCAACAAAAGCCTACAGTTTGTGTCAAAACTGGACTTAATCAACTACCAGGCCAAGTTCGTATCCTACCCCATCATCAAACACGGCCTATATGAACTAGAGATCATAAACAAAACACCATAGAAGGAACAAATAGAAACCTACCTTCTCAGTAAGGTTAGAGTCTCTCACAAGACACCCTGACTTACATTCCAGCCAGAACTCAGCATCAACGAATTGGAATTCGACCCAAAGGAATGGATCTGGGATCTGGGCGCCACCAGAATATCAAGAAGGATAACAAAATATGAAGTAAAGTTCGGGTATAACCTCGGACTACAAACCAGGGACCCGAATTCAAGGCTGGCAGAGAAATGGAGAACCATGCTGAATCTAGATACCATGACCCCCATCACCATCACATGGACCAAATACCTTCTCATCAGACCCAAGTAGAATCCAAAGTATGCAATGGCTAATAGCACATGCAGCCCTGCCAGTCAACCAATGGTTACACGAGAGAAGGAAACATTCTGATCCTGATAGCTTGGCATGCTGCTCAATGTGCAGCAATGACTCACCCGAAGACATCCCCCACTGCCTCCTCTTCTGCCCTGAAGCAATCTGGGTATGGAAGAAGATCCGCGAGCTATGGTCTATCCTGTTCGCTCCCCCCCCCCCNCCCCCCCCCAAACATCCCCCCTATCTCTATCCTACTTCTAACTAACATCCCCAAACATCCCCAGCAACATCACAGGCATCAGGGAAGCATGGTTCACCCTACTCAGGAAGCTGGCACTGTGGGTGATATGGAAACGCAGATGCACTCAGCAAGAGAAAAAATGTGGTCAGTACTGCTGAGCATGGCAGAGACGGAAATCAGGAGCAGATGGCGGAGAATAGCAAACTCTACGAGACACAGACCAGAAAGACAAGCAACCAAGAAACGGACTTTCAT